AGTAATATTTCTACTGGATTGACCCGCTATGAGAATACTACATAGAATGTTATGCAAAGTGTCATAAGTTATTCTCATGATGATAATGGTGTATACCACCCTTCGACCTGAAACCACTATGGACCCTAGATGTAGAGTCAAGTACTTTATTGCTGATCAAACGTCATTCGTAACTGGATGACTATAAAGACGGTTGATGGGTACTTCACAAAGCATGCTAAGGGACATGAGTGACCTAGATGGAATTTGCTCATCCTGCATAACAGGATAAATGTCTAAGGGCCCAATATTGAACTGGACAAGGGTGACACAGTGTATGCCTTGTGTTCAATATAGACATGAGGGCAAAAGGGTAATTGTACAACACAAATATTATCACGGAAAAGGTTTGGTCAGATCACATGGCATTTTCGTGACTTGGGTAACAGTGATGTGTTGCTAGATACCGCTCACTGTTTATTATATTAAATGTGTGATTTAATATAATTGCCAACGTCACGAAAACCTACAGGGTCACACACATAAGGACGGGTTGATGAGAGATAGAATAAATAAGGAACACCGTAAGGTACGGTGCACTTAAGTGTAATACGGAAAGTGGTAAGGTACCACGTGGATAAGTGATATATGGTACATCATAAGGTATGATGTCCATAAGCTTAATTGGGCTTTTAGCTTATAGCCTTAATTGGGCTCTTAGCTTGTAGCCCACACGAGTGATTCTATAAATAGATCCCTTGTGATGAAGCAATTTCACTTGATGCAATTTCGTTTTTGATTCCCTCTCTCACTCAAGTTTTCCGTTCGTGATCAACTAGCACTGTGACCGGAAGCGATCTGTTCGTGTGGATTGAGTAGAGGCGTTGTTCTTCATCAACGCTCGTGATCACAACATCAAAGGTCTAAATCGCCACAAGAGGTAAATATTTCTATCACTGACCATGTTCATTCGTAAGGATCTCTAAAGGAAAATTTTAAATTCCGCTGCGCTTTTGATCGCAATTTTCCTTCATTTTGGTCTCTCCATGAATTTACTTGCAATACCCGCACTAAACGCCAAATTTGGCCGCATATTGCACAAGTAAGATAATGATCCAATCAACCTCATATATTGCGTTGGATCCACATCTTGTTCATCCTCAATTTTGGATAGATGCAACCTTGCTTCAGCCGATGTTATGGCCGTATACAATGCTCCATATCACACTTTTTCAAAACCTCAAGAGCATACTTTCTTTGATGTATAAGCAACCCCATTTTTGACTTATGGAACTATATGCCAAGAAAATAAGTCATGATTCCAAGGTCACTCATTTCAAACTCTTCCATAAGCTCACTCTTGAACTTAGAAATATTCACTTCATTGATGCCCGTAATCAATAAGTCGTCCATATATAAGAAAAGTATGTTCACATCTTTTCTTGCATTTGTCTTCATATAAACACCATATTTAGATACACACTTCTTAAAGCCAACCTCAACTAGAAAAACATTGATGTGTTTGTTCTAAGCTCTAGGTGCTTATTTCAAACCCTAGAGTGCCTTCTTCAATTTGTAGAATATTCCCTCTTGATTCTTCACCACAAAACCAAGGGGCTGATCTACATAGACTTCCTCCTCAACTAAACCATTCAAAAATGTGGATTTTACATCCATTTGATACATTTACCAATTATTTTTATTCGCAATACCAACAACCAACCGTATAGTTTCTAATCTAGCCACGGGTGCAAACACCTCATCATGGTTTATACCTTATCTTTGCAAAAATCCCTTCGCAACTAGTAGAGACTTATTCTTGACAATTTCGCCTTTTGGATTTGCCTTCACTTTATAGACCCATATCACACTGATTGGCTTTTTCTGTTCCGGTAAATCGATCAGCTCCCAAGTACTGTTTTTCTCAATTGATTCCAGCTCCTCTTATAAGAATAAGAAGTATTTTCAACATCTGACCTTGATATTTGATGATAACTTCACATGTTATCTTAGATAACAATTGTATACACTAATGATTTCGTCTAGTGTGTAGCTGCTGCTATAATATTCTGACTCTGGTACAAGGCGTGTGATGTCATCAGGTTCAGAACATACACTCTGGAAGAAAATATGTGGTTACATGTTTCGGTAAAGTCAAGGTTCTGAACTGATCTTCTTCAATGTATTTTAGTAAATTTAGTACAAGAAGTTCTAATCATGGCTTTGTGGTTTAGCTTTGGAGGCCTTCTAAAGCTTTACTTCTGTGTGTTACATGTTTTGAAGATTATGAAGACAAGGTTCTGCTGAACAAGTTCTGATGATCTGAAGAAAAGGAAGTTCTTACAACCAAGTGCTGAAGACTCTGAAGACAAGGTTCTATGTGACAAGTTCTGAAGACTCCAAGACTTAGGTTCTAAGGCTTACGAAAGATTCTTCTACAACAAGCTTCAACGTTTAACATTCAAATATCTGAAGTATTTATAGATCAAGAAGAAAAAGTTCAAAATGGTTAACGTGTGATAATGTACAAAAGGTACATAAAGTGACTGTGACCTCTACTCTTGTAGAGTGGCGTAAGGAGAGTTCTTTTGTACTTGACAATGATTAATCTCATTATAACCGTTGAGAACCAATAACTAGATTTCCGATTTACCTTTTTATCCTTTTAATGTTTCTATTTTACAAGCTATAAAAGGAAGACTTGGAAGCTGAAGAAAAATAACAAACTACATTACAATGATAAATCTATCAGTTCAAATCAAGCTCAACAAAACTACACCAAAGCATTGTGCAAACTCTATAGAGAAATCATATGTGTATAGTTTCGTAAATAAGTAAGGAGTTGTTGCTCGTATCTTGCAGTAGAACACTTAGGTGTTCTTCACTGTACTAAAAAGTCTGTGTAATCTGCTTACAACAAGCAAATATGTAATACACTGAAAGTACTCAATTGATGTTGATTGATAACTTGAGAGACTGAGTGAAGTCTGGGCTCAAGAAGACTCCTGTTGTGGCTTGAGTGGATTTACAGTAAGGATCAATGGACTTATTGAGGGTGACAACAAGGTTGATCATACTTGTTGTGGGTTATTATGTAATTAGTTTGGTTATAATAGATTAAGTCCTTCTTGAAAGCAAAATCATCCTTGCGAGGGTGGACTGGAGTAGCTTAGTTAACAGCGAACCAGGATAAAAGTTATTGTGTTCATTTACTACTTTATGTATTAAGCATACTTGGTTTGTCACCAACGAAAAGATTTTATTTGGTGAAACCCAATTCAAACCTCCCTTTCTTGTGTTTCTCACACCTTCAATTAGCAGCATAGCTTCGGTTTTGGTATTGATAGTTATCAAACAGTTAATCGTGTCAGATAAAGATCCAGACGAGTTTTTCATTGAAGAAACACAATGGTTGAAACCACTCCAGCTGTTGCGGTATCAGATTCAAATGATAAAAGTTATAAAGTTAAACCTCCCATCTTTGATGGAGAAAAGTTTGAACATTGAAAACATAGACATGGAAGTTTCTTTCTAGCTCATGATATCGATCTTTGGGATATAGTAGTCGATGTCTATGTACCTTCCGCAGATAATACTGGAAAAGAGATAGCTAAGAGAGCTATGACTGATCAACATAAGAAAGATTGTAATAATCATTATAAATTAAGAACTAGCTTGCTGAATGCGATTTCTTATACTGAGTATGTGAAGATCACAAATAAATACTCAGCTAAGTCTATATTTAATTCTCTCAAAATTACTCATGAAGGAAATGATAAAGGCAATGAAACCAAGGCGTTGGCCTTGATTCATAAATATGAAGCTTTCAAAATGGAGGATGATGAAAGCATTGAAGTAATGTTCTCAAGATTTCAAACCTTAGTTGCAGGACTGAGAGTTCTGAACAAAGGCTATTCAACGGTAGTTCACGTGAAGAAGATTATCATAAGCTTGCCATCCAAATGGAGGCCTATGGTAACTGCTCTCAAGCTTACAAAGGATCTAAACAACACTTCTTTAGAAGAACTGATAAGTTCTTTGAGAATTCATGAGATTGATCTTGAACAAGATGAACCACAAAACAAGATAAAATCTATTACACTCAAATCCATCAAGAAATTTTAGAAGTCCAAAGCTCTTCAAGCATAAGAGATATAAGATTCAGAAGAAGACCTTTTTAATGAAGACGAGTTATCTCTACTGTCCAGAAGGGTTAATCATATCTAAAAGATAAGTAAAAACAACTAGTTCAGAAGCTCAAGAAGGACTGGAGGTCAATTTGAATCAACCTCAGGTCAAAGAAAGTCTAGCGATATTGAAGACACTTGCTATGAGTGCAATGAACCAGGACACTACAAATTGGAGTGCCCTAAGCTTCTAAAGAACAACATAAAACAGAGAAATCTTAAAGGTAAATAAGCAATTGGAAATAAGGGATGACTCAGACTCAGAAGTAGAACATGCTTATGTAGTACAAATGGCTCATACTGGAACATTCAATGAGAAATTTGTTCAAAGGATAAAGCCAATTCAGAGGAAGAAAAATCTGTTTGCAAAGAGACATCTTTAGCCGCACAACTAAAAGATCAATCTTGGTACTTGGTGTAATAACCAAATGAAAATATAGAGTCGCCACCATTAATTTTTATCCTAAGGAAGGGAATATAACGGATAACCCTAACTTGATCATAGATTCTAAGTTTTTGACTCACTTTAGACGAAGGGGAGGTGTTAATTGGAATGGAGGAGTGAGCATAATAAAATGGTAGTAATATAATCGGGCATGTGGCCCAACAAGATAACCCTAATTCCACATACAATAATATTAATTAAAATTAAAATACAGTAAAATAATGGTCAACATACGGACAGGGATACCGCCCCCAATTCATCTACATTTTCCTTCTCATTTTTTCTGAATTTTAAATAGAACCATATAGATTTTGACAATTGGCATTTATATATAAAGAAAAACAAAAAAAACTAAATGATGCATACATTTATGGAGATAAATAGTGAGTTTATTTTTCAGATTCAATTCCTCTCCCTCTCTCACCTGTATCACGTTTTCTCTTCATCAAACAAACAAACTTGTGCCAAATTTTCCCAGATTTACTCATTACAACAAACACATGAAACAATAATTGAGAAAAATAGAGATGGAACCTGGTGTGGTCGTCCGTAACTGAAACTTCGGAGGAAGTGTTCGGTGGCTGACAGGCTTGGTGATGGCGAATGGGTGCGATGGTTGTCGTGAGTGTTGTTGATCGGAAGCGGCTAATTGTCTTGGGTCGCGTGGTTGTTTTCAAAGTTGGTGATGGTGAATGAGAAGAAGAGGGCGTGTGTTGTAGTGGAGTTGTCGAATGGAGGAGATCGGAGATGTGCAGTGGGTTACTGAACGAAAGAGTCCAGATCGGGATTGGAGGAATCATGTGTCCCACGTGGGTTGGGACAATGGTTATCGGCATTTGACGGTTTTCCGAGGGAGGAACTGCGGCCATGGGTTCCACAAATTTACTTTCCCTACAAAAAAACATAGTATAAGTTGTATTGTTTAGTGATAATAGTTTGAATGAAATTGCAGGTTTTGGTTTTGTAGTTTGATGTTTTGGAAAATTTCCACAAATTTTTGAAGCGATATTGTTTAGATTTTGAATTCATGCAGTGGTTTGAACCTTGTTTATGTTGTGAAAAATTATAATAACTGGAAATCAAATTTTGTTCAAAACCATGTGACTCAGGTGCATCAACTAGTAATATAGCAAAACTATCATGAACTATGTCACAAGGGAGTGATACTCCACAAGCAATAGGCAATAGATCCAACAGTACAACACTAAAAAGGGATACAATTTATAGAATAAGAATTCACAATATACTTTATCATAGTAAATAATAGATGAAACAATGGATTGGAAACGATAAGCCAAAGAAAAATATTGTATCTCTGCCTTGTTAGAATGTGGAAAAGAGAAAAAAAGGTTGATAATCACAATGCAAGAATTGTTGAACTCTAGTGAGTTGTGGATCTTTCTTGGATCCGTTTCACAGAGTTTCTATTCAGAAACCCTAGAATAAACCAAAATTAAGAGCAAGATTGAGATGGTGAAATTCTGGATGAAAAATTATGATGAAAAATAGTCCTATTTATAGACTTAGAATTAGGTTTAAAAAAAACTTAGAAAGTAAGTTACCCAAAACACCGAAAAGCCCAAAGTCTGATCTCTAAAAAAGGAAAGAAAGTTAATAACAAAAATAGAAAAAGAAAATGTTTAAAAGTGCAACACAAGATATTCGAACCCACGACCTCATACATGCAAGCTTCATTCCTTACCAACTGTGCTATGTTACTCGTTTTAAATAAAACTCAATTGAAAGTATACGAAAGTGAACAAGTATCTGCTATTTAAAAGACAAATAATTTGAAATATACTATTATACGTTTTTAAATGAGTGAAATCAATTATTATTAAAATGTTAGTAAAATTGAACCAAAGAATATTATAATAACCAATGTTGAAAATATTTTTGACTGTAGAAATAAAGGGCAGACAAATTTGGGGTATGACAGCTTTCCCTATTTAATTACTCTTTGGTTGAGGGAGGGTACGAGAACATGCAGGTCTTGCACATTCGAGTCAGAAGGTCATTAAATAATGGAAGACCCTGAAATTTGACCCAAGGTTAAGATAAGGATATACTGTAAAGCATACCCCAGAGAAATAAAGAAAGATAGGAAAATATGATGATGTATCATCTTACCAGAGTTAGAGAAAGAAGTATGACGACGTGGATAACTCTCCAATACCTTGAAAAATGATCATAGATTTTTACGTATTTATCATGACCTAAGAGGTAAATAACACAAGTTTGAAAATTGACTTACTAATGCTTTGAGACTAACATAGTAAGCTTATAGCGCATATTTTATCTATTCATCATAGCCTAGGGGATGAATAAAACATAGTTGATAATACATTTCCGCATGGAGACTAAAACCATGAATTATATCACAAAAATACAGATAGCATATTTTTGCTTCGAGACTAACACAAGGAGTTATATCGCAGATTTCGTATATTTACTACAACCTAGAGATTAAACAATATGAGGATGAACTTGTGCATTTATCACGACCTAGGGGATAAACGACACAAGGATAGGCTTATATATTCATCACGACCTAGAGTATGAACAACATAATCCTAATAATTCAGATACCTACCACAACCTAGAGGATAAATAATATGAGGAAAAACTTGTGCATTTATCATGACCTAGAGGATGAACCACCTAATCCTGATAATTCGCATACCTACCACACCCTAGATGATAGATAATACGAGGATGAACTTGAAGAAGTGAAAAACACAAGAAGGGGGGGTTGAATTGTAAAACTGAAAATCAATGCAATGAACAAGATATTTTTATCCTGGTTCGTTTGATCTCAAACTACTCCAGTCCACCCGTCAAGGTGATTCGCCTCTCTCCAACGAGGTCTTAATCCACTATATTCAACTGAATATTACAAACTGCTTTAACAACTGCTAAAGCCTTCTTGATGCAAACCACAACCCGGTTTGTCAAGGAAACACTTTCTTACAAAGAAGATAAATCTAGGTGTGTGAATGTTTTCTACAAAACTGTATCACAACTGTGATGTATACACAACTTAAGCTTATGAAACTAGATTGCTAAACAATGATTGAGTAAGGAGATATGTAGCGTTTAGCAAACTGAGAGAAGGAAGATTATGATTAGCTTTTAGGCGTGTAAAATGTTGGAGAGCATTAGCCAATTCAATCTTCATAGTCTTGTTTATATAGCACTGAGATTGTTGAACGTTGGAGCAATATTCTTGATTCAATGCTAATAACAAACTTTCCTTATTGAGCAGATCTTGTCTGGAATGAGGCCGTTGGTAATAATTTGCTTTCAATGCACAGTACCGTTGCTTACTTAATGCATGTTCTGGCTTGGCTCATTCTGACTCTGCTTAACTGTTGATGAACTGTTGTTTTCTTTATCAGAGTGTTGAGCGCAGTTCTGTTCATCAGGCTTCAGCGTACACGTGAGTTAATCTTCTGATTCTGGTATTCTGATATAGCAACTTCTGATGCTGATGTCAAGAACCAATATTCTGATGCTGATTTAGTGTGCTCTTGCTGATACCTATCAGAGTTTCTGCAAGGCAGAACGTAATATTTTTAGGTAGCAAATGGTTCATACATGAATCATATAAATAATATATCTTTTCATTTTGTTATCATCAAAACTTAAACATAGGGTAGTAGATTCAAACTTTGTTCTAACAATCTCCCCCTTTTTGATGATGACAAAAACTAGATATTTTTTAATTGAAAATAACGTGAAAAGGTATCAGAGGTAACTGAATGATAAGATGTATCAGAGTGAGAGGTTATCAAAGATAAGGGATAAAGAGATATCAGAGTTGAGAGATACTCCCCCTGAATTTATTGCTTCCCTTTTAATTCCAAGAGTTCTTCAGGATCAGATTTTTTATTTGCCTTTCTTTGAACATCAGATTCTCAGAGTTTTGACTATCAGAAGCTTTAGATCAGCATATCAGAGCAGAGCTTCAGATCAGCGTATCAGAGCTTTTCTTGTCAGAGCTTTGCTTTGGGTCAGAGTGTCAGAGCTTTAGTCTTCAGAGTATCATGGAGCTTTCTTGTACCTGTAGACTTAAGCAAAACAGAAAACATATTCAAGTATATCAAAGTTAGAATGTTCGAGAATTTCTGTCTTAGTAATCCGTTATATTTAAAATATCATTCTTGTTCTCCCCCTTTTTGTCAGCAATCAAAAAGTGTAAGTGATGTGCTAAAACATTTAAGGCAGAAAAACTTGTCATATTAAAAGGTTCAGAATCAAACAAAACAGTACAACAAATAATCAAAGAAAACATGAAAAAGACGTGAATGAAAAAACTAAGGTTGGGGAGGAAAGCGTGTGAACAGGTTCTCCAGCATGGCTTTGATCTGATCAGCAGTCTCATTCTGCTTGTGTACCATGCTGACAACTGTGTCTATCTTGCTATCCTGCACATCCATCCTTTCTTTCATCTTCTGGTCATTTTCATCCATCCTTTGCTGCAGACGCATGTCATTCAGCTTCAGCTCTTCCAGAGTCTGCCTGTCCAAGGCAGCTTGAGAAACATCAGAAGCAGGGAGCTTCTGAGAGCTTTCTGCAACATCTTCTGCTTGACTTGCTTCAGCTTGAATAGTCTTGTCTTCTTCTGGTTGCACCTTTGAAGCTAGCTGTTTCTCAGACCATGGCTCACTATCTAGAGGGAGCACGTCTTCCTGTGGCAGCTGACTTTCAACTTCCTTCAGCAGCTTGCTGAAGTTCTGTTGTGCCTGCTCATAGTTGATATCCTGCAACTTGAGGGCTTCAGCACGTACCCAAATTCTGAATTGTGACCAGAGCTGGTCAGAGGCAGCTGGGTCAATCATTCCAGGACAGACTTGCTTCAGAGAAGCAATCCACTGCTGCAAACCTGTTTCAAAATTCATAATACCAGAGCCAACATCTGGTTGATTTGGTTTTGGAATGGCTATTTTATTTTTCAGATCAGCAAGACGGTCAAAGATTGTTAAGTCTATGAAGGTCCTGCTGGGGTTTTCGGTGGTTTGCTTGGGAGCTGTTTGTTTTGGAGATGGAGTGGGAGAATCAAAGATAATGATTGGACTATTTGATGTTTTGGGAGTATTTGGTGGTGTAGATTCTGGTGAGGATGGCAACTGGGCCATTGTGACTGTTGTTCCGCATGGCAGCTGGATTGCCAGAGGTGATGGTTGAGGTGAATGAGGTTCAGAAGGTGGAGGAGTTGGAGTTTCAGAGTGATGAAGCTCAGGTTGAGGTGATGGTGGATGAATTTCTGGTTGAGGAGAGGGAGACGGAATTGCTGGTTGTTCAGGGATAAGAGGTTCTTCTGGAATGGATGAGAGAGGTTGTTGTTGTTTTGGTTCTTCAGCAGCTTGTTGTTGTTCTGGTTGTGGAGAAGGGACAATTTGTGGTTCAGAGTTTGGATTGATGGAGGAGTGATCAGAAGTGTGTTGATCAATGTCAGACAGCACTTTGTCAATTGTTGATGTTGTTGATATTGTTGATTTTGGATGTTTGGTTCGGGGTCTTCTGAGTTGTAATGCCTCAGAAGGGTCATCTTCTGGTTCAGTTTCATCTATTGTTGGGATGGGGATTGAGATTCTATGAGAGGTTGGAGGAGGGATTGATGCTGGAATAGTAGAAGAATTTAAAACAGAAGCAGCAGATAAATTACCTCTTTTCTTGGGTGTCTGCTGGGATGATCCTTCTGAAGGTGCCTTCCTTTTCTTCGTCTTCTTCAGTGTCACTTCTGGTTGAGGTTGGTGCAGATCTTTGATCTTCAGATTGGGATCTGTACCATCAGCTTTGCACGCGTCCAGATATCTGAGAACTACCACTGGCTTGGATTCTATCTCAGAGAATAAAGGAAAGTCAC